GATTTTTTTTTTTATACATATCAATATTTTGTTTTTGCATTTGTTTATATTTGATTTTAATAGTCGATTTTAGTTTTATAACTTTGGAAGCAAAAACAACTATAGAAAAAATCAAACTCGTAAAAACCTTGTCTATAACGTAACAACGCGATTTTTTTTGTTTTTTAGGATAGATAAATCAGTATAGCTTTTTTGTTAGCTGAATGCAGCCACTCAGCAGTAAAACAATTTATGAATTATCTTTTATCGACCAGTGAATATAAAAGTACATCCATCATCAATGCTAACGAATATTTTTAAAATATTGTATTGTTATGTTGTAGAGACATGTTTCTATGAACTCGAAGCAATTTTTCAGAATTAAAAATTTCATCTGTATGATAAATAAGTTATAACAGTTTATGTAAAGGCAATTTTTCTTTAGTAAATCCGAGTTCACTTGCCCGGAAATAATTGGATAAAGCGAGATAAAAAAATCTATTTATTATCGCAGTATGACTTTTGTAACGCACAATTAATAATTTCATAGTCAAACCAAAATTTTTAATCTACAATTAACCTAATCGCCAAATTTTAACACGTCTCATACATGTAGATATATCAAACGTAAATCGTTTTTTCATTCAACAATTGAATAAGTTCGCACATGAAACCTTTTGGTCAAAATTTGGAAGTCTCCTTGTTGATCAATTCATATATGATGAGCTAGCGTATATATATACCTTTTTATTTTTCTTTGACCAATAATAGTTAAAACATCAATACCATCTGTTAATACTTTACCTTGCTTATTTGCCGCACTTGCTGTACCAAGGGATACTCGAAATATTCAGAGAGCCAGTTAAAACAATGCTTCTAAAGTGTTATACAAATGTCCGTTATGCTCTCGATACTTGATAAATATTTCGAATAGCCACAAGTATTTTAATATTTCAACTAGTTATAAAAATTTAATGTAAGTACATATCAAATTCCGTTAGTCATAATTTTTAGTCATGATAATAATACACAGTAATGGTATTCAAAATACCTTTCTATCTATTCATCCATTCATCTGATATTCAAAAGAGGTATTAATGAATGGAAACATCAAGTCAAAGTCACAACAATATGAAGAAAATTCTTCCTAATATAAACAGTCATTATACCAGGGATTCCTCGTAACCTCTCTGGTTGCTATCCATCAAGATATGCGTGTGGTTGTAACATTGAAAATATTAAAAATATGTCCAACTTACTTACCGTGTTAATAGATGATAGAAGAAAATGTGATTTAAACAGAATTGAATGAGGAAAAAGCACAAGTTGGTCAACATTGCAAGCGGTGTGTCTCGAATATGTGTATTCCCTGCTTTGACAGCAGTTACATTCAGCACTTTCCGCCATCATATCATCATCAAAACCAAACTCAACATATTGGCAGTCTTCTATATGGAAAATACTTTCACTTTCTGTGTAAGAAAGCGTTAGTAATATTAGTAATACCAATAAAGAATTTCTTCAACGTGACGTAAATTGTGATAAATAAAGGTCACCTGTTGACCAGGGCTGGACGCGTAAATTAAACTAAACTGACTAAACTATTTAGTCATTATCTTAAGTCAATCCTAATCAAGTTTAGTCAAGACAATTATTACCAAATTAGGATTTAACTCTTTACGCTGCTGTTGACATTAATATCGTGTAACGAGAAAAGATATCCTTCATGTTCCATTTATTAAATCATTAAATTACTGTCTCTGGAAGTTCTGCACGTTCAATATCTAATTTTATAGAAGAAATAATATAGATTTAATTCACGTAGGCATAAGGGTTTTGAAACCAATTCTTAGTTAGAAACCGGTCAGCGAAGAA